TGGTGAGGAAGGCTGAAAACAATTTTGTTATTAAAAAATGTAAAAAGGAAAGCAAAAGTCAAATGTTTTTTTGGGAAACATTATCTCTGTTTAAAGGTGTTATTTGTGTTTATTGTATTCAGCAAAGAGATTTACTACTGGTTGATTTCAGTTTCATTTACTTCCTTTAATTTCTTAAACATTAACGCATTTGACTATAGGTGCTTCCTTGGATTAATCTTTGACATTATTTTGTCATACCTTAACGCTGTTAAATTTCTTACGTCTCTTCTAATTGACCAAACTAGAGTCTTAAACACAGATGGTTCTGCATTTCAGGTATGCAATGACAGGAACGTTGAGCACAAAGAGTCATGTCTATAGTTTTGGCATTCATCTTGAAACACTGTATTATCATGGTTGGTTTGAAAATATTTATTTATTTGAATATTATTTGTGTAATTGTGAATTGTAAATTTATTTTAATTTTATAAGATCACATTTTGGTTAATAGATCTTATAATTTATTAATTATCTGTAACAAACATTTCTACAATACAGATTAAGGTTGTAAATCTGTCATGGCGTTGTTATATCTAATAGTTTCGGGTATAAACATCAACTCAAGATTCTAGAACCTATTATCTAATATCATTAAATACATACTTAGTTGTTAGTAAAATGATATAAATTGATTATAAAACCAAAAAGAAAATTTGAATTAAATGTAATTAACAATATATTTTCACAAGAAACCAAAAATAAATCATAAAAATAATTTGATCATAACTAAAATTTAATTAAGTTTTCATCCATTTCAAAATTTTGGTCACTATTCCATATGTATATTTCAGATAAAATTTTGATTTGTCGAAACCTGGGCCAAGATTCCCACCCTAAAAAAGTAAAAATAAACATAATATACAAAGAGATTTTCAACTGGTTCCCTTCCGATGAAAATAAGTAAAAGTTTATACTTAGACCGAAAACTAAAAAAATATTAAAGGGTTACTTAACTGAAAAATCACAATTATCTCTATAGTGGTCTAGCTGATAACACAAAAAGATCGAAGCAAAAATGCTACAGTGACGATAGATATCTTCTCACCTCCAGGAACCTATACATATATTATGAAATAAATAAACATATTTATATTACTAATAACTACTCACTAACTTATTTTAATTAATTTTCAGGCCACAGTTCAAAAAACTTCCACCCCATCTACATCCTCTACCTTGAGAGTACTAGCTGCTTCTCCATCATTAATATTTTCCTGTTGTTTAAGATTTTATAAATTTTTTCTTCACGATTATGAAAACTATCATCTACTTCTAAACATTATTACACCAACGCTTTTATTTCTTAACTGGTCTATTATTCCCACAAATTTAATTTGTGAAAATCAAACTTCAAACATCAAACATTACTTACTACCTACTTTTTCAATACGAGTTTTTTGGCTGTACATTTTCCGCAGTTATTAAAAGATACTATGTATAAAGCACCTGCTAACAAATATTTGCATCTCGGGTATCCAAAATTTTTAATCAACACTTTTTCAAACAAAAAAAACATAATCACAATACAAATGATTCTTCTCCTACAAAATAACCCGGGCGTAGCCCGGGAAAAAGATCTAGTTTTCATTTTAAAAGATAGTCCGCTTTAAACTATCACATATTAAAGAGTCATGACTTCTCTTTTGATATAGGATAATTCTCTCAAATATCACTCTTTTAAGTTTTTATCACAAAAATAGATCTCAAAAATTAAAATGACCAAAATAATATTTTTTATTTTGAAAATTTTAAGTTTTTTTTTTTAAAAAAAAATTTGAAATTCTATTACTAAAACCTCACTCCTCAACTCTAAACAAAAAAATCTAGGATTAGTTAACCCAAAAGGTATAAATGTATATTTAATAAAACTTTTAAATGATATTTTGATCATTTTTAATTGTTAAGGTCTATATTTGTGATAAAATCTTTTTTAGGTTTATCCTAGTCATTTTCTATTTGATATATTAGATTCATTATATAAAAGAAAAAGGATAAATAACAAAGTACAAATACTTTATTTTAATAGACAACTATAAATGTTACAATTTCCAAATTTCCTAGTTAGTTTTCTTAAACTGGCATGAGAGCCTTTGAATACTTGGGTTCGGATGAAAATTTCGCTGAGATGTTTAACCTAGCGATGTCGGAATCTTCAACCTAGCTTGGTCATGAAGAAGATTCTAGAAGTTTACAAAGGATTTGAAGATGTTAACACTTTGGTGGATGTTGGTGGAGGAGTTGAAACCGTACCAGGTCTAGTCACTTCCAAGTTTCCTCATATTAAGGGCATCAATTTCGATTTGGCATCGGTTATAGCCAATGCTCCTCCCTATCCTGGTAATCAAATTAAATAATAACATGACGTATAGTTTGTATATTGAATTTATGCTAATATACAAACTTGTTACTTATTATAGGAGTGCAACATGTGGCTGGAGATATGCTCACTGAAGTTCCAAAGGGAGATGCTATTTTCATGAAAGTAAGCATATATTTTGCATGCATGTGTATATATGAACATAGAAGATGGATCAGTCTACTGCTTATGTTTGCAACTGAGACATTGTGTCTTATGCTAATTTGAAGTTTTGTTCCGTGTTCAAAACAAAATATTAATGTATTGTTTTAGCAAGGGAATAAAGAAAATTCATTTTTTTGTTCACTGAAAGGAAGGTTCTCAACTTTTTAATATACATACGCATGTTCATAAGTAACTTTGATTTCTATTTGACTACAGTCTACACGTACACGCGTCTTAATGCATGTCACTTTGATTTCTATTTGACTACAGTCTACACGTACACGCGTCTTAATGCATGTCCAAAAATTACATGAGCTTACACAATTTATAACACAAGATATTCTCACCTTTATTGACTTGTATAACAGAAAAAAATAAATTAGTTTACCTTCACTGTCCACTATAAAATGGCATAATAGCATGAATGTAGAACCCAAACTTCTCTTTCCCATTTCTCTAATTGTTGTCTATCTATCTATCATCTACCGTTTTCAACCAACAACAAATAATGGCAAACCAACTGCTTAAACCCTTAACCAACTCTCCTAAACCGGTTCTGACCAAAGAAGAAGATTCTCAAGAAATGGTTGCCTTGCAAGCCCAGAGGATGGTCTACTCCTTGACATTCCCAATGGTTTTCAAAGCCGCCTTGGAGCTAGGAGTCATCGACACGATCACTTCCGTTGAGGACGTCATGTGGCTCTCACCTTCCGAGATAGCGTCTCGTCTCCCTACCAAACCCACCAACCCGGAGGCTCCAATGCTACTGGACCGGATGTTGCGCTTACTCGCCAGCCACTCGGTCTTGAAATGTCGTGTGGTTGAAACCGAGAAGACCGGAAGGGTTTACGCAGCCGAACCGGTTTGCAAGTTGTTCTTGAAAGATAGAGATGCCTCGGGTTCTCTCTTGTCTTTCTTCATGTTGTGCCAAAACCATGTCATTTTCAAGGCTTTGTACGTAACCTATATCTTAACAAAGGCCAAACCGGTCACTATTACGTCAAAACATTTTACATATTAGTATATTACTAATAAATTTTTTTTTTGACAGGTCACATCTCAAGGATGTGATATTAGAAGGAAAAGATGCATTTGCTTCTGCCCATGGCATGAGAGCCTTTGAATACTTGGGTTCGGATGAACAATTCGCAGACATGTTTAACCTAGCAATGTCGGAATCTTCAACCTTGGTCATGAAAAAGATTCTAGAAGTTTACAAAGGATTCGAAGATGTTGATACTTTGGTGGATGTTGGTGGAGGAGTTGGAACAGTACTAGGTCTAGTCACTTCCAAGTATCCTCATATTAAAGGCATCAATTTCGATTTAGCATCGGTTATAGCCAATGCCCCTCCCTATCCCGGTAACCAAATTAAATAATAACATGACATAGTTATGTATATTGAATTTATGCAAATATACAAACTTGTTACCTATTATAGGAGTGCAACATGTGGCTGGAGATATGCTTACCGGAGTTCCAAAGGGAGATGCTATTTTCATGAAAGTAAGCATATATTTTGCATGCATGTGTATGATTATAAAAAGGTCTAATTAATACATATTTCAACAAAATAAAATGGTTTAAATTTGATGGCAGTGGGTGTTGCATGCTTGGAACGACGAGAACTGTGTTAAAATTCTCAAAAACTGTTGGTCGAGTCTTCCAGAAAAAGGAAAAGTGATAGTCGTGGAGATGGTTATGCCAACAGAACTAAAGAGTGATGATGACTATTCTCCTAACATTGGGTATACTGTGGACATGTTCATGCTATCACTACGTGGGAGTGGTGGAGAAAGGACTCTTTCTCAATTTGAGGCTTTAGCTTATGATTCAGGCTTTCGTCGTTGTGAGTTCATTTGCCGTTCCTTTTCGTTCTCTCTTATTGAGTTTCACAAATAGATTATATGTTCTCACACTCTACTCATGAAGACTTTGGACCTATTAAATCATATATGCTTTATATCTATCAAAGAATACACTACAAGAAAACAGCAGGATACCGACGGCCAAAACCGTCGGAAATCCGTCGGAATACGCGTATTCCGACGAAACTGTGACGAAGTTGTTCGTCGGTATCATTTTGTCGGAAAAAAAAATTTCGTCGGAAATCCGTGACAATTTCCGACGAATTCCGACGAATTCCGAGAGACTGTAATTCTGACGAACTACCG